TACATTACATACATACATACACACATGACAGCAAAGCGTTTCGAAGACGGAGAATCAGCCCAGTGACAGGGGCACCTCACCTTGCTCCAGCTTGGTGATGTCCTAGGTGTGAATTTCAACAGTTCCTAGAATCATGTATAATTAAATGGGTTTAGGGTTTAGGGCTTAGTGTTGAGGGTTAGGGCTCTATGTTACACAAGAAGGGAAAGTAAAGATTATCCCCAGTGTCTGACTCGCAGATGATGTCCGTGTTGTTTTGCTTCCGCTGCCAGTAGACCGTCTCAGGATGTCCCGGCAGGCATCTCGCCTGCCAGCGCCCACTTCGCCCTCTGACTTAGAGTTTAAGGTTTTGGGGTTTTGGGGGTTTTTGGAGTTTTGGGTTTTAGGGTTTGGGGTTTAAGGTTTTCGGGCTCAGGGATTTAAGGTTTAGGGTCTAGAGCTTAGGCACCAGTTTACGCGTTGCTAAAATATAGATGGGTGCCTCTGGCCACGGACCTCTCCGTGTGTCTTGCGCAGACTGCTGCAACTGCTACTGGCATGGTGGTCCTCATGATTGATATAGGGGCCTTTTAAAAAATTGAATAGGGTTTTGGAGCCCACTATACTATAATTTCAATAAGAAGCCTCCAAAATAGTATTGGTAATTATTCTCGCTGCTGGCGCGACTTGCGATTCCTGCTGTTGCCCCTGCTATGAACCATTCATGCTGAGGTCTCGGATACTTCTTGTGTTTCCGTTTAGAAACCGTGCTGTCACTGTCAGCATTGTTGCAATCAGAGTTAAGCTGCCATAAAGAAGATCACTACATGCAGTTTTGCCGTAGCTACTGTTTTCCTCATGTCATTCGCATTGCAGAATTGGAAGATCAATCTCAAACTTCCAGGGGAGAGTCGTAATACGGACAAAGGTACTTTTCGTAGCAATGAAACTCTGTCGTTAAACCCGCAAACGCCCTAATTCAAAAGCCCAATAAAGCCTAGATCAACCCCACAATATGCAACCGAAGGACCCTAAACCCCAAACTCTTAACCCTAAGTCCCAAACTCGAAACCTGACCCCAAATGCTAAATCCTGAACCCTAAACCCGACGCCCTGAACCCTAAACCCGCGGAACCCCAGTCGGGCCACATACTCGTGAATTAAGGAAGGTTTAGATTAGTTTAGGGTTAGGGGTTTAAGGTTTAGGGTTTAGGGTTTAGGGTTTTTGTTTTCCTTCAGCCATGTTCGGGAGCCCTTCATGCTTTTGCGGCACCTTCCTGCAGTAGGGGCTCTCTTGTCACCCTAGCGGTTTCCGTACTGGAAGTACGTGCTACGAATTATCAAGCATCATCCTGGTCCCCGGAAACTGTTTAGGGTTTAGGGGCTTTGGGGTTTAGGGCTTGGGGGTTCAGGGCTTAGGGGTTTAGGGTTTAGGGTTTTGGTGTTTTGGGGTCTAGGGCTTAGGGTTTAGGGGTTTAGGGGTTAAGGTTTAGGGGTTTAGGGTTTTGGGTTGAGGATGTGAAGTTGTCTTTGGCACCTGCGTAGGCGACTCGACTAAACGGGGACCCCGCCTTTGTGATGGTGTCTTTGTCCAATCGCAAAACCGGCGCGAACTGCGTCGCCATGTTCTGAGGCCATAGAGACGGAACCGAGACACTTTTTAGGATTTTAGGCCCCCCTAAACCCTAGACCCTAAACCCTTGACCCTAAACCCTAAACCCTAAACCCTAAACCCTAAACCCTAAACCCTAAACCCTAAACCCTTTCCTTACAGCATCATTGTCAAATAAGAAGCCCCTGTCCTTGCTCTCAAGGCCCATTCCCGAGTCAGAGGGCAGATCCGGCTCTCCCAACTCTACTGCTTATTTCAAGGGACGAAAGGAGCGACCCTTAAAGGGACCCTTGGGGGGTTATGTAGGGGCTTTATGAGACTCTATATGGGGATATAAGGGTTATATGGGGTATTAGGATCTTACGTGGATCCTTCTTGTTAAAACGTGTGACCACTAGCCATGACTAACAAGATGCATACTGTGTGCTAAGCAGAAAGCGAATGTGGGAATCTGTGGAATTCTTGCCTCAACCCTAAACCCGACACCCTAAACCCCTAAACCCCTAGACCCTAATGCCCGAAACCCCTAAACCCCGAACCCCAAACCCTAAACCCTAAACCCTAAACCCTTAACTCTCTTCTGTTGCTTTTCAGGCTTGAGGGTGCCGGCTCGTTGGCTGGGAGGTTCCTTGCCTGGGGGTCGAGGATAACGGGGCCGAAATAATTGCCAAGAATATTTCTGGGGTTTAGGGTTTAGGGTTTAGGGTTTAGGGGTTCCTTACTATAGTTACAGTATAATGGGCCCCAAAACCCTATTCTAAGTATTAAGGCCCGGGAGTTTCTGAGCTCAAGCTTCAGGGTTCTCCTTTAGGAGGCGGGTTTAGGGCTCAGAGTTTAGGGATTGGGATTTTTGGGCTTAGGGTTTAGGGTTTAGGGGTTAGGGTTCAGGGGTTTAGGGTTTAGGGTTTAGGGTCCAGGGTTTAGGGCCTAGGGTGTAGGTTTAGGGTTTGGGGGTTAGGGTTAAGGATTTAGGGTTTAGGGGTTAGGGTTCAGGGTTTAGGGTTTAGGGTTTAGGGTTTAGGCGTTAGGGTTTAGGGTTTAGGGTTTAGGGGTTAGGGTTTAGAGCTTTGGGTTTAGGGTTTAGGGTTGTCTCTGCGAAGATCCTTCGAAGGGTGACATAGTCATTTTCGGAAACCCCGAGATGGGTCTGCACCGAGGCTGCTTGCTGAAGGACAGACGCCTAGACCTGCAAAGAGAGTCCCATCCATGCGACCAAAATCCTACATCCCCAAACCCTAGACCCTAAACCCTAAATCCCCAAACCCTGAAAACGATCCAAGGTTCATAGGGTCGGAGGTCGGAGGCTGAAGGCCTAAATCAGAACCATTGAACCCTGAACTCCAACGCCAGAAGACGAAGATCGGGGCAACGGAATGCCCCTCAACCCTAAACCCTAAACCGTCAACAGGAAGGCACCCAGAAGGCTATGGAAACGGACACCCACAAACCCTGAATCCTAAACACACAATCTGTTGTATTCTCGAACCCTTAAGCCCTCCTTCCTGAATCAACGCTTGAAGCGCAGTCCCGGGAGCCAGCTCGCAGGCGAGGTCCCTGCCATAGACGGTGCCACAGATGGTGCGGGCAGCAGCAACCCAGAGGGAGGCAAAGAGTGGCAAGCATCGCGCCATGGCGATTCAGGGCTACTCCCTTGAACTCGTGGGTACCTTACCCAGGGATGCTGATAATTCAGGATGCCCCTACTTGGCTGGCTCCTCCCTACTTTCAACCTCCGAGCCCTGCAAAGCCCACGAAACTTCGGTATAAGGGCTACTACGATGGTTCTGGGCATGGAACCATGGAACCCTTGTGCTTTACGGGTTTCGGGCCCTAAAAACCCGAAAGCCCAAACCCCAAAGACCTTCTACGCTGAGAGCCGAAGCTCGCTGCGGAGCAGAACCCAACATGGGAACCCCCGTCGCACCCTAATCCCCTGTGGCCCTGCATGGTTTAGGGTTTAGGGTTTAGGGTTTAGAGTCCAGGGTTGATGCCTATTCTTTTCCAACCCCCATTTTGGTTGAGGATAAGGTTTTGGGGGTTTTGGGCTGTGCAAGGCCCCATAAACACCTCCATCGATCCCCAAGTATGGAAACACCGACATCCATCTTTAGCGGCCTTCCTGTACTGGGGTCTACTATCAGGGTTGCTATAGGGCTCACTGCCAGGGTGCGGCGGAGAGTGTGAGTTGCGGCTTTTGGGTTGGGGCTGCACTTCTGTTTCCCTAAACCCTAAACCCTAAACCCTAAACCCTAAACCCTAAACCCTCCGGAAGGCTCTCTCGCTGGATTCCCTGTCAGAAAGGACACGTTCCAGGCAGAATAGGGTTATCGATGGCTTTAGGGAGGTCCATGAAAATATATCTCAGTATAGGGTTTAGGGTTTAGGGTTTAGGGTTTAGGGTCGGCCCCGCCCCGAACACAGCTTCACTGAAGCCATGGACGCAGCTCGCAAGACGGGATAATATTATCAACTGCTCCGACACCTAAAGCACAGCTGTGCTCAACAAAGCCTGTCGTCGGGACTAGAGGGCTTGGAGTGCAAAATAGGGGCTTTAATCGGGTGTGGGGCCCCGTTATACTATACTTATGATAAGGAACCCCCCCCAAAAAAAAATATTGGTAATTATTTAAGCCCCTATATTAGTTCCTCTGCAGAGGGAGAGGTTTGGGAGTTGGTAGACGCGGGACCAAAGATATCAACGCCTGACTACGCCGGAAGCCAAAAACCCTCGGGAAGGCAGAGTCAACCCTTTCAGTTTTTGGGGGTTCCTGGGCTAGGGCCTCATGTAAAATATAATCGGTTACTGTCTTCGGGGCTCTCTTACTTACAAACTCTTGGTCTAGGACATTTTCAGGTGGGCATTTACCGTTATAGGAGCCTTATAGAAGGTCTGTGTACCTTATGGAAGCCTTATAGAAGCCCTATATACCCTAAACTCCCCACCTGTCGTTTCCCTCAACTTTGGAGAACAACCCTAATTTGTATGTCATTCAAAACCCTTCACACCCCGGAAGCCCCACCCACCCGATCCAACAAGAAAAACGACAAGAGAAATGAAGCCTAAACCCCACGACCCTAAACTCTTAAAACCCTAAAACTCTTACGCTCTAAACCCAAAACAAGCCCAAAACCCTAAGCTCTTAAAGCCTAAAACTCTTAAGGCCTAAACCCCAAGGCCCTAACCTCTTCAAGCCTGACACCCTTGAATCCTAAACCCCAACCTCTTAAAGCCTTAACCTTACATAGGATCCCTTTAAAGAAGCACCCCTGTTCGAATCATTACCACCAAAAAAACAAAAAAAACAAAACGCCACGGGGTGCCTTGGCCTTCGCCGGGTCCGAGGGGAGGAAATTCTTGCCCAGGGCATAGTCGCCTTAGGAGTTAGGAGTTTAAGGGTTTGGTAAGGCTTAGTAGGATTTTAGGGTTTAGGGTTCTAGTAGGATTTAGTAGGGCTTAGTAGGATTTCGGGCCATGGGAATTAGGACTTCAAGGGCTTCTAGTGTTTAGGCTGCTTTGTTTCAGGGTGCTCAGGTTCTAGGGCTGAGGCCCCTTACGACTTTAGGCTTCTAGGGCTTAGTAGGGTTCAGAGCATGGGGCTAGGAGTTTTAGAGGATCTTGATTGAAGGTTTCAGGGCTTTGGAGGGTTTAGGGTTGGGGCTCTAAACCCCCAACCCTAAATCCCAAACCCTAAACCCTAAACCCTAAATCCCAAACCCTAAACCCTAAACCCTCTATCGAGGCCAACAAGGGCTACTTTCAGGGCTTCCTAAGGCTTCTACAAGGGTGTCGGGCTTCAGGGCGGGGCTTGAGGCTTAAGGCTTCGGGATTTTAGGGTTTAGGGTTAGGGTTTAGGGTGTAGGGATCAGGGTTTAGGGATTAGGGTTTAGGGTTTGGGGTCTCGGGTTTAGGCTGTCAAGTTCTGCGTGAGGGCTTTGAAAGCCGCGGTCTTGGGTGTCGCGCCTTTTGTGGCCGGCCTAGTTCCACGGTTTGGGGGCCTGAGTTTCAGGCCGGTTCAGGGTTTGGGGCTTTGGGGCTTTCCCTAAACCCTAAACCCTACACCCTAGACCCTAAACCGGGGCTTTGGGGCTTTGGGGCTTTCACAGGACGCATGGCTGAGGCTGCATGGTTCGTTCCCAAGCCAGCGGAGAGGAAGCGGCCTTGGGCATCGGAAGTCCGGCCATAGCCCTGGGCTTAACCCTGAACCCTGAGGGTTTGGGGTTTAGGGTTTAGGATTCAGGGTTTAGGGTTTAGGGTTTTAGGGTTACGCTTCTTGAGCTGAAGCCAAAGATCCTAGAACAAGATAAAGGCCGCCCAAAATTACCCTAAACCCTAAACCCTAAACCCTCAAACCTAAACCCTAAAACCTAAACCCTAAACCGAATGCTCAGGTGGCGACACGTGGAACTGCACAGAACAGGTCTTGGAGAGAACTATCCTAAACCACAAGATCCTTCTCCCAAACGCTTCTATAACCCGTACAGAAGCCCGTATAGAAACGGTTTCGGGTTTCGGGCTTAGGGTTTAGAGTTTCATAGAACCCTTGTAGAAAGCACTGACCAGCGTCACAGAACATTTTAGGATCCGCATGAACACCTAGAAACCCTCCACAACACGACGAAACCCTGCCTACCCCATATAGAACCCTAAACCCTAAACCCTAAACCCATATAGAACCCACAAAAAAGGCTCGGGAAGGCACCAAGAACAGGGGCCCCGACCCGCGTTCTCGAGCGTGAGGCCGGGCTTGTTGGAGACGTTGCAGGTCTGAGAGAGGCCGGGGTTAAGGGTTTAGGGTTAAGGG